TCTCAAGTCAGGAAATAGTCAAATGAAAAAATATACTTCTTATAAGTAGTAGAGATGAAGTCATAAGGATCATGATTCAAGATATTCGGAGAAACATAGTTGGTCTCTCTGTATGAAGCGAACCCGTCACCTCTACTAAAGTAGTCGTGCGTAGTATGTAATGTAGAGTGCAATAATGCAATAAAATAAATGATATGAGAATTTACCATGACCACAAAATATCCTACATTTGTTATCATCATAATCAACATGCATTTTTTGCTTCTCTTGTATGTGGTCCAAGTTTTCTATCAGGAAAACATGTTAACTCAACTGTAGATAAGGGCGGCACGAAAATGCTCAGGTAAAATTACAATTGCCATGTATCTGCTGGACAAATAAATACACTTATGCAAACTTCAGGGTATTTTAGTAAAACTTATGCGAACTTTAGTTTTTTTTCACTAAAACTTATGCAAACTTTTGGGTTTTTTCAGTGAAACATAATTTCATGACTACAAGTAAGGTCCTGTTCAGCAAATTTGTCTGTGAGTTTACTATGTAGTCATGAGTTGGCCATGTAATAACCGGTAGTCAGTACTTAAAAATATAGGGATGTCTGTTGCAGGTACGCGAAAATCAGTGAAAAATAAATAAAGAAAGAAGGCATTGGTTGCCTGAAACCCAACTATGTGTGCTCCAGCGCGCCTTTGTTTCTCATTGCCTCATCTCTGGTTCATGTACTTCTAGATGTGTCACCACCGGGGAGGTAGAGATGACAGTAAAAATAACAATACTCGTACTTACCTAATTAGTGCGTGTGTGCGGCGCTTTCGCGTGAAGGCGAGCGTCTCCGTCGTTCAGGCCTGCGAGCGGCCGTGGCGACTGTGTCCTCTCACCAGCTGGGTGGCGTTGTCAACGCACGTGAATCAGTCGTCCAGCTTTGAGCGGCGGCCTCCACGCACCGGCGCGTGGGGAGTTCCAGCGTCCGACAAAGATAGGATGTCTTTGGACGACCTCGTCCACGCATGAGTATTGGACAAGCGTGTCCAACGGAGCAGCACGCGTCAGAGCTGAGGGAGTCGGCGGTGGCTTCGGGCGAGTGAGATGGGACCATGATTAGCTTCACCTGCTGCGTAGTGGCCGAGACCTGCGCCGCCCTGAGGACGACAATGTTTGGCGACCAGGCGAATCTACATGCATGGCTGTGGGGGCAAATGCCTCCACTCGATTTTTTGGCCTGCTTATACTGGTCCAGGATACTCAGCGTTGCCCCCACTTGAAGGGCGTCGGCGGTGGGTGGTTGTCAGCGTGGGAGTTATGGACGAAGCTGAAGTCGATGCGGATGCCGGTGGTTCCCGGTGAGCATGCCAGGACGTGGACGAAGTCGTTGCAGTCAGTAGAAAAATGGTCTGGCCTCCAGGCAGAAGACGAAAGCGGCGACGACACGTGTGTGTGTTCGGAGGAAGCCGCAGCTCCTCCTCGCGGGTCTCCCATTGTGGCTCGCGTGGGTGGTGGGCTAGTGACGGCAGGCGACTCGCGATCGCGATTCCCTGATAGGAAACGATAGGATGCGCTCGCGATTAGTTCCCTAATAATTAGATGTGTTTGTGATTAGTTATCTAATAGGATGCGTCTGTGATTAGTTTCCTAATAATTAGATGCGTCTGTGATTAATTTCTTAATAGGATGCGCATGATTATTTTACTAATAATAAGATGCGCTCGTGATTAGTTTCCTAATAATAGGATGCATTTGTGATTATTTTCCTAATAATTAGACGCACCCGTGATTAGTTTCTTAATAGGATGTGTCCGTGATTATAGTTTGCTAGTTGATCAAGCATGGACTTTCATATTTTCCTTCGCGATGGAGTACGGTCAGTCAATGTAAATTGCTAAGTGCACATAGAGAACATATTAGGTTAAGGCTAGCCGTTAGATTGAATTTAGTGAGACTAATCATGCGATGGTAATGTATCTGTGTATGTTTTGTAGGGTGTACTTAGAGAAGATAATATTTGCTTTTTTATAAATAGTATAGATGTAAAAGATTGATCATTCTTTATTGAGAGAAGAGAAAGATGGAACGAAGCAGGGCGTGGAAAAAGTATTAGACGGTTGGACTTCCTTTGTTTCAGATCAGGACTAGATATTTTTCAGATCAGGCTTAGATGAGATGATTGGGTTTCCTTTTGTTTTAGAATAAATTGCTAATGAGTGAAATCATTAATTAAGGAGTACTTGTTGCAAACAACACTCCATTTTCCCAAGTCGCGACAAGTGGCGCACATGCAGCGCGCCACTTGTCGCAACCTGGGAGTTTTCTTTTTTTTCGTAGATCTGTTTATTCAAAATGTTTTATCTCTTAAATCGTGCGTCCAAATCTCGAACCGTTTTCACTATTGGATTTTTCGCGTCGAGATCTTCAAAACTAAATTCCATGTTGATAGGTTTTGACGAACTTTTTTTTCACAAAAAAATGGACGAAAAAACCGGGCAAAAAAACCGAACCGGGAGCATGGTTTTTTTCCTTTCCGAAAGAGGCACGCCCGTGCCTCTCGCAAAATCACAACCGTGCCTCTCATGAAAGCAAAACCGTGACTCTCGTGTAAGGAAAAAAATAAAAAACGTGTTTTTTTCCGTTTTCGAGAGGCACGGCCGTGACTCTTGCGAAAGCACAACCGTGCCTCTCACGAAAGCAAAACTGTAACTCTTGCGAAAGAAAAAAACAGAAAACGCGTACTTTTTTTCCCTTTCCGAGAGGCACGGCCGTGACTTTCGCGTAAGCACAACCGTGCCTCTCGCGGAAGCAAAACCGTGCTCTCACGAACGAAAGAAAAAACATAAAACGCGTTTTGTTTTTTCCTTTCCGAGATGCACGGCCGTGACCCTCGCGAAAACACAACCGTGCCTCTCGTGAAAGCAAAACCGTGACTCTCGCGAAAGAAAAAAAAAACAGAAAACGCGTTTTTTTTCGTTCCCGAGAGGCATGGCCGTGACTCTCGCTAAAGCACAACCGTGCCTCTCGCGGAAGAAAAACCCTGACTTTCATGAAAGAAAAAAAAAGAAAACGCGCTTTTTTGCAAAAAAAAAATCGAAATTTTTTTGATCGAAAAGCTAAGAAAGATCGGGGGAAAACCAAAACGTCAAAAAAACCCGGAAAAAAACCGTTTAAAAAGCCGAAAACGCGTGCGGAAAAATAATAAAACAAAATCCGAAGCGAGCGTCCAGAGCGCGACACGTGTTTTCGGCTTTTTAAACGGGTTTTTTTGACGTTTTGGTTTTCCCTCGGTCTTTCTTAGCTTTTCGATAAAAAAAACTTTGAAAAAAAAAATCACGAAAAAACGCGTTTTCTTTTTTTTCCTTTCGTGAAAGTCACCGTTTTTCTTCCGCGAGAGGCACGGTCGTGCTTTAGCGAGAGTCACGGCCGTGCCTCTCGGAAAGGGAAAAACAAAATGCGTTTTCTGTTTTTTTATTCGTTCGTGAGAGTCATGGTTTTGCTTCCGCGAGAGGCAGGTTTGTGCTTACGCGAAAGTCACGGCCGTGCCTCTCGGAAAGGGAAAAAAAGTACGCGTTTTCTGTTTTTTTTATTTCGCGAGAGTCACGGTTTTGCTTTCGCGAGAGGCATGATTGTGCTTTTGCGAGAGTCACGGTCGTGCCTCTCGGAAACGGAAAAAAAACGCGTTTTTTGTTTTTTTCCTTACACGAGAGTCACGGTTTTGCTTCCACGAGAGGCACGGTTGTGATTTTGCGAGAGGCACGGGCGTGCATCTTTCGGAAAGGGAAAAAAAACCGTGCTCCCGGTTCGGTTTTTTTGCCCGGTTTTTTCTCCCAGTTTTTTCGTAAAAAAAAAGTTCATCAAAATCTATCAATATGGGATCTAGTTTTGAAGATCTCGACGCGAGGAATCCAATGGTGAAAATGGTTCGAGATTTGGACGCACGATTTAAGAGATAAAACGTTTTGAATAAACGGATCTACGAAAAAGAGAAAACTCACATGTTGCGACAAGTGGCGCGCTGCATGTGCGCCATTTGTCGCGACCCGGAAAAGTAGAGTGTTTTTTGCAACGAGAACTCCTTAATTAGTGGTTTCAATTAACTAGTTGCTCCCGCTAATGAGACGATTGGGCTTCGTTGTGCGGTATAAATAAGACTGGAATCGATTTCTTTTGCATTTTTTGCATGGCAGTTATGATGGGCCAAAGGATGCATGTCTCACGGCTGCATGTAGACGCATTGCTTGGTGGAGAATATATATGTGGCTGATGATGATGTGGACACCTTGCATGTTTAGAGAAATAAGGTAGTAGGGATGAACTATTTAGGTATTATAGATTTGTGAATTTTAAAAAAGTTTACAAATTCTATAATATATTCATGAATTTTAAAAAGAAAATCATGAATACAAAAAACACTAATAAATTTTAAATAGCCACGAATTTTAAAAGCTGCGCACATGTTTAAAAAATGTTCATAAATTTGAAAAATAGAATAGAAAAAAAGGAAAAGGAAGAAACAAAGAAAAAGAGAACAAGGAACCGGCCGAAAACCAAATAAAGACGGTCAGCCTGTTCGATTTGGGCATCTATTCTATGCCTCGAGAAATTAATAGGAAACGCCGTGTCTAGAGAGGGGTTAAAAAAATGTCAAGACAGAAAAATACTCCTAAAAGTTGAGAGCAAATATATATCCTCCTCTGCTAAAAATATATTTTCTGTTATTTCAGAAGATACCCTAAAAAATTATCGTTCTAAAAGAAGGTCCAAAACAATGGCTCGTAAATATCTCACAAAGTAATAAACTATTATTTCATTGTTTTCATGTGAACGAACTGACCAGATTTTACATGTATATAAATAAAATGTTTAACATAACATCCTCTTGCACCAAGCAGTTATTCCCGTTTACAACAGCACAAAAGGCTATAAATCTCATGCAGTATGTGAAAGTTCAGACTGAACCAAGAAATGGTGTGACAACTGACAAACAACTGATCTCCTTGCCTAGAGCTGAGTGTTCACTCCTTGCCATCTGCGGCGCGGAGGGAGCCAAGCTGGACCGGTGCCTGCGTGGTGCAGACCTTGGATGTTCCGTATGCGGACATGTCGGTGCCTTCAGACTTTTCCTTCTCCAGCTGCTCCTTGATCCAAGAATACGTGATCCTGAGCCCATCCTGCAGCCAGAATTTGGATTCAGTTTGACGACTGATGAGCATCTGTATATGTGTGACTTAACAGAACAAAAAGAATCTTCTGAAAATTTTGGGAGGGTACCTTCAGCCTCATGGTTGGAGCCCAGCCAAGCTTCTCCTTGATGAGCGTGTTGTCAGAGTTACGGCCACGGACACCCTCGGGGCCAGGGATGTGGTGGATGGGCAGCTGCTTGTTCTCGAAGCCCAGGACTATCTCAGCCATCTCGTTCATGCTCACCATTTCGTCACTTCCGATGTTTACAGGCTCGCAGAAATCAGACTTTGTGAGCCTGAAGGTTGAAAAAACAATTCTTTAGACAGCCATGAAAATAACATTGCTCTTCAACAAAGGAGAGAACTTTATAATTTATTTATTTATCGTAGGATGAGAATGATGATTCAATGATTTAACATGATACTCATCAGGAACACATGTGCGGTATTTTGAAAAGAATAGCCTATACATCACAGAATTTGCAATAGAACTTTTGAGTTTCCTATCCTAAAGTAAATTAAATCACTGCAGCTTTTGGAATAGTTGTGAGATAAAATTGCTTGCTGGGCCATCACACTCAATTAAGAAACTAATCTACCAACAGGTGGTTCTCAAATTGCAATTCTGTCGAATGGAAATCAACATCTCATATGAAACTTTTAAGTCTAGAAAGCTAAAACAACTGATGCTTCTCTTGGAAATCAGAACTAAAGCTGCCGTCCATTAATTGTCATCTCAGCACAAATTGTCTTATTATCCACACTAAATAGTGTAATTCATGCAAAATTTATTCCATGCTAATTTAAGGCATATTTCAGCAAAAGCAAAAAAGTAGGCATACCAGTACCGGATTTGATAGCAAAAAATAAGAAATACTGGACTATATAAACATAAGTTGGTAAAAAAAATACCTGAGGACACCCTCCACACATTCATCAATAAATGTGAAGGATCTAGTCTGCAGACCATCTCCCCACATCTCAAACCGGTCAGTGGAGGTTAGAGCCTTTCTGCAGAAAGCAGCAGGTGCCTTCTCCCTTCCACCTATATAGCCAAAACAATTGTCAAACTTTAATAGCTAGCAAACAACACATTACCCCGCAAAAAAAAAACCCAACACATTAAGAAAAACACCTAGATACTACTAACTACCATATAAAATCTTACCCTTCCATGTCCCATATGGACCATATATATTGTGAAAGCGACCAATCCGGCACTCAATGTCAAAGTCCTTTGTGTAGTGCTTGCACAATTCCTCAGTGGCAAGTTTCTCCAAGCCATAGGCATCTTGAGGCTAAAGATAAGGCATTGCAAAAGTTAGTACTATTTTATCACAATAATTAAGGTGTTAGTTCATAAAGAAACATATATAAGTGCAAAAGTTTTGGAACCTCTGCAGGCCAAGCATCTGCCTCCTTCAAGCTAACTACAGTTTCCAACTGCTTAAATTCAGGGTAGATGCAAGCACTCGAGGCATAAAAGAACCTGCAGGAAGGAAATTAAAGTTCAATAACATTTAGTTTCAGTCAGCTGTTAAGGTTGTTGTTTTGCTGTTGTAATATGTTTTCCTTCCTTCCATCTGCTTGACTAAACAAAACTGCAACTTTCTGCATTAGGTCAAAATTATTTTAGTTGAACACATATTCTTCTTTCTTGTGATGAGTTCAGGACAATGTTTTCAAGGATCAGTTTTTTTTTTATCGCTTCTAAGCTTACCAAACCATTACGTATTTGCTAAATATGACACTAATTATGTAAATGAATATTGTGAGATAAAAGATAGGGGCAGATAAGATGGTCTTCAAAGATTTTAATATTTTCTGGTCTTAACGCCAATGTAACAAAGAGTCACTATATCAACCCATCACCTTGCAAAAAGTACACCAATAAAAACTTCCCCTATATGGGCCCATTTGAATGTTATCCGTCAGCAAACATAACTATGATGCATAAATAAGAACTCTACTACTTTTCCCTAATAATGTACTTAATGTGGAACATTCATTTCTCTGTATCCATGAACTGAACAAAGATGTTGATAAGCCCCCTTTATTATAAGTGGACATACTGCTGCCTAATGCACACTATATGTTGGCAGTTTATGCATTTATAGGATTTTCTTTGGACAGAGAGACCTAAACCTTTGTCGAAAAAAGACAGACATAAACAGAAAATAGCAGTTAGCATCTTATAGCTTCCCTAGGTGAAAAAACAAGAGGTCCATAGAAGCTAGTACTGGATGGATTGTTACCTCTTGACACCATTGATTCTACTAGCCTCAAGCATGTTAAAGCTGATCATAGTGTTGTTGTACATGATGACAGAATGGTTGGACTGGATGAAGCCCATCCCTCCCATATCAGCTGCAAGGTTGAAAACATGGTCAACCCCAGTGGTTACCTTGAGGCAGTTGTCCATGACCCTCAGATCAGCAAGGTGAAACTCATGGCAGAACATATCCTCTTCCATGTGTTCGTTCTTCTTCCAGTCAGAGGCGATGATGTAGTGCCCCTCGCCCTTGAGGCGCTTTGCAATGTGGGAGGCTATGAACCCACCAGCTCCAGTGATTGAGATCCGCAGCTTCTCGAATGGCCAGTATGGCTCCTTCTCCAAGTCCGCGTAAGTGTACTCCTTGTTGAGCGCCATTCTGCACCCACGCAAGTTAAAAAGCTTAAGATGGCAACAAAATATCATAATCATAGGACTCCGACTTCTTACGGCAAACAATAACATCTTATACTAAGCCGCGTAGAACTTGTTTCAACACGTGGTACAAAATGTAACTAGTAAAATCGTGAGGCCTAATCATGTCTATTCAATCAAGATATGTAGAAGAAACTGACCGGCCACATTAGCAAACGTGACGACTGACTGACGAAGCCGGGTTCAATCATACCACGTCAAATGAGCATCCATCACTATTCACCAAGGCCACAGGATGGCAGATGGATAGCGGACCGCTTAACAAAAGCAATAATGAATGAATGACTAGCTGACTGCTTAACGAAAGCAATAATAGACCCTTGTATGGTTTCCTTTCTTCCAAGAAGGGACAAAACAAAATCCAACACCGACAGCGCTTCATCATCCCCGCCACCGACAGCGAGCGCCGGCCACCCCGTGCCCGGCCCCGCCAGATCTACCGACCCCGCGCCCATGTTCCCCGCCACTCACAGCAGCATGCCCCGGCGGCCGCGCCTCCCGCTAACCGGAGCGGCGGCTCACCGACGCATCGCCATGGCCCATGGATGGCCACAGTTGTCTCTCTCCCGAAGGTCAACCCCTCGATCTGAGAATGAAAAAATGGCACGGGGACGAACCTGCGAGAGACGGAGCGGCCGCGTGCCGGCGGCAAGGAGGGGGGCTCCGGAGCGGCGGCCGGCGACGTCGCAGGAGCAGTGGATGAGCTCGGAGCCGGGGACACCGAAAACTGATGGAGGGAATCGGGGAGCTGCTGGAGACTGGTTTTTCCGTTTTGTCCCCAGAATATTCTGGGTACCGGGGAGGGAAAGAGATGAGGGTCAGGCTGACGACCTCGGTTATACTTATAGTCCCTATCCGGGCCGGGCCGGGCCGGGCCGGGCTTCAGCTGGATCGGGTCGTCGCTCGGAGTTAGGCTAAGCTGCTTTGACTTTCTTTGAGCAAGATTTACTCAAACCCAGATGCACTCAACGGGGCATCATTTTGCGTTTCTACGGCATGTGCACCGTAGATCTATACACGTTATTTTTCTCTTCCTACTCTCTCTGACCACCAGCGCGCACATCTAGTATTTGCCCATAAGCTTATTGAAAATTGGGATGCTGCATAAGCATCTATATTACCAATATTAAAAAAATTCAAAGAAGCCGATGCAATTAATCACGATCATCAAACCACAATTCAACGACCTGGATTGTTCCAATGATGAGCGCCCAACATATTTAGCGTGCAGTTCATAGCATACCAAATATCAGCGTCTATGCTAATCGCCTAATTAACACATAATTAATACCATACTAATATCAACATGCAATTAATTTTCTCCCTACATCAACATACAATTAATTCTCTCCCGATATCAACGTGCATTATACGTATGCTTTTACTGGTTTATATAGCAATATAAAGAAAAGCAAAGGGGCGGATCGGTTTATCTCGGCCATCAACATCCAATCCAACGACCTAGATTTCTCCAATGGTGAGCACTCAACATATTTAGCGTGCAATTAATACCATACAAAATATCAACATTTGTGATAATTATATAATTAACGCGTAAACGTTTAATTAATTTTCTCCCTAATATCGACGTGCATTATAGGTACGCATTTACGAGTATGCTAAAAAGGGAGGAGGAATTGAGGTGGTGTTTGGTTCTCTAGTCCTATGACTTTTTTTAGTCCCAACTAAAAAGTTCCTAGTCCCTAAAAAATTCTTCCCTGTTTGTTTCTAGAGACTAAAAAGTTCATAGTCCCTTCCTAAAGGTTATTAAATGACCATGTTGCCCCTAGTATATAGAAAAATAACAATCAAACAACACCATGGGGTGGCAGGCCAATGGGTGCATGAAGGGGCATTGTTGAAAAGTCCCAAAAAATCTCAAAAAGATTCTCCTTGAGAGTCTTCTTCATTTAGTCCCAAATGACTAGTTTAGTCCCTAAAAAGTCCCTCATGTTTGGTAAAAAAGTCTCTAAGAGGGACTTTTTCTAGTCCCTACAAAAAAAAGTCCTTGGAAACAAACACCCCTGAGTACCAAGTTATGGTGCTCTTTTTTCTGGAAAGTTTAAACAACGGTGGAAATTTGTATGTGTTCACTATGAATCCATGAAATTTTGTTCTGAAAAAATTGAATTTGTAAGCTATACAAAAAAACAAATTTTTGACCCAAATACAAACAAAAGGCGGCCCATTTGAAAATGCATATTTCCTTTTTTTGTACGCCGTGTGTGAACATAAAATATTTTGAATTTTTATACATGCGTAATATACATGTATGTGTGTTTACAATAAAGATCATGGTTTTACATTGTTAAAAAACTGTTTTTAAAATGGGCACCAAGGTGCCAGGTCACCATTTGTAATTTTCAAGGAGGACTCCATCTATTATTTGAGGTAAAGTGTGCCTAAAACAACCATGTCCTTTTTGTTCGGCAGTCGGCACTCTCGGCGGAATATGCGATCCCAACACCGGCTTGCTGCTCATTGTTTTTGCTATTGTCTCTAGATCAAGATGTCATCTAATGGGACAGGTAGGGGCTTACGAGCTTGAGGGTTTTAAAAAATGGCGGTACTCATTCACGTATAAACATGTTCATTTCAAAATAATGGCTCCGATTTCATTAGATATCTCATTAGACCAACATGACCCAATGTCATGTTGTGCAGATTTTGCTACTACATGAACAGCCTCGTTACAACAACGTTTGGCATGGATAAAATCATAGGATAAAAACTTTGTGGACCTACTTTTAATATCATGGACTATGTCAAAGCTCACAACTCACACTTTGTTCATCTACAACATGCAATCGAAGGCCACTGAAATCTTATGAAACCTGCATCTTCAACAAAGACGAGGGCTTGCCAAACAGCAAGAGCTTTAGCCATTTCTAGGTTTTGGATGTGATCAATATAAGAGCATCGATATGCAGCAAAAAGTGTCCCTAGATGATCTCACACCACAACTCCATAGGCAACCCGTCCGGAGTGGGAGAAATTGCAGCACCTACATTGATCAACATTCTGCAACCAACCTTCCGACGGCGGAGACCATTTTTGGGTTGAGGTTGAGGTCTCACGTCTATTGGAACCTGATGAGCCAACATTATACACAATAATGAATTCAATATAAGCCTTGATTTGCCCCACCATGCAAAGAGGAATAATTGGCACCTCACCATTGTGATAGTTTTTTCATGTTCTCCCAAATGTGCCACAAAGCGACATCCATGATCATAACTTGGGAGGGTGATGCTTCCGCTATCCAGTCGAGCAACCATTTCCTAATATGAGCAAATTTCTTTAGTTTAGGAAAATTCCATCGCTCCTCTCAAATTCTTGTACATGTTGGCATTGTGGAAAACAATGTTCAGTATTTTATATGTGTTGCAAAAATGGCAGTCGTACCTTGTGGGCGTTGATCACGTCTGGAGTTGGGAGCTTGTAGGTAAGCACAATCTTCATCTTGTTAGGGAACTAAATGGACCAAAGTTTCTCCCAAGCCTTCTGCTGGTAATCTTTTTTTTTTGATGAGTTAGGGCACTGAATGGCCCAAAATTTCATGAATATTATCTACCTAGAATGCTTCGGCTACTCCAAAATTGACAAGTTCTCCCTAACTTATATGGTAATCTATTAGTGTATACACCATTTTTGGAGTAAGGCCATGATGGGGAAACATAGGGTTGGTAGATTTGGCGAGCGAGAAATTTGGTGGGCACTAAAACAAGGCTTCTGCTAAAGATACGGGGATTGTGGGTCATTGGCTTACCTTCATTGGATGGTGTAGTTGCTTTGGATCTCGGCACATGCTGGAACACTACTCATTAGACAACCATCTAAATGACTACCAAAACTAAACCTTGCAATCTGTTGCGTCACCGAGTTAGCTTGTCCTTTGATCTTTGGTAACTCAAATTTTTTGGAGCAATTATGTCAATCCTAGTGCTTTTTTCTTCATATGGACAAATTTAGACCTATGGTGGGCATTGTTTGAAAGAAAGGAGAAAGAAAAGGCATGGCCAGTCTGCAGAATAATAAGGCGACATAGAGTTATACCGAGTAGAGGCCTGTCACGTCAGTCTTAACATAGTTACATAGGGTGTTTTCCCTCTATTTCATTGTGGATGTTTGGGGGTGTTGTTTTTTAGGGATATTTGTTCTCATGGGTTTATTAGGCTATGTGCATTTGCTTTGAATGTAGTTCGCCCTTCGGTTGGGTGCCACATGAGAAGAGCAGTTCAGAAAATCTCCTATTTAGCGCCTTTTATTTTCATTTTTAATTTCCTTTTTCTTGTTTTATTAGTTTTATGTTTTACACTTTTTATAATTCATAATTGTTTTCAAGTATGACATTTTTAAGTTGTGACAAACAAAAGTTCGAGCAGATGTTGTTCTAGCAGGTACAAGAACTCCCGTTCGGTATGCGTCTGCTTTAGCAATGTCTTTGATCCTTGATCAACAATTTGAGGAAGACGAGATAGAATCCTTTGGATGAAACCAATGAATCTTCCGATCCGAAAGACTAAGGGGCTAGGCGCTCACCTACTATCTACACATTTCCTCTTTGGCGTTGGCTCCACCAGTTTTGACTGCGAGTCGCTTTACTTATCTCAAATCTTTGGCAGGAAGGGGCCAAGCCAAATATTGCTCTTTAGAAGCGTAATCCGTGCTTGAAACTCCTTCGCTAGGATCCAAAAACCTATGCTTCCGCTCTTCCTCACCAGGCAATGCTTACTCTTCTCGATCAAGATTTTGGAGACTTTGAAGCTCAGCATTGCAAGGAAGGAAAGAGCAAGAGCTAGGGCTAAGTGCTCGAGTTACGGTTGTTGACATGGAATTGTAAGCCGAAGTATTTTATAATTTATGAAAAAATTTAGTTTAGAATTTAGAAATTTTTAAAGCTCGTGAACAATTTTTAATTCATGAACATTTTATATTCCATG